AGGGAAGGGAAGGGAAGGGAAGGGAAGGGAAGGGAAGGGAAGGGAAGGGAAGGGAAGGGAAGGGAAGGGAAGGGAGAAAGTGATGTCAAAGAAGATAAACATGCAAGCAAAACAGTCTCATTGCTACCAAGAAACGGTTATTACAATTTATTGAAATGACCTTGGATTGAATGAGAGGAAGGTTGGGTAAGCAGCAAAGACATCAAAGAATTCTCTTTGAAAACCAATTTAAGAAGAAAATATATTTCAGGAAAGGAGTGAAGGGAATGAAAGGGGGAGAGGACTAGAAAGTTGGAATTCAATTTAGTTTTTGTATTCAGATTCAGAATAAATGATTTTTTCAAAATCTCTGCCCAGTTTTTATAGTTGTAAAATTGATTCTCAGTTGCAGGAGAAAGACAGAAAATAAATACCTTCCACCCTTTCAGTTTTGGAGTTTCCATATTTTGACTACTTTTGATCATTGTCGTCTTAGATCTGGACATATAAGCTGCATGTAAGCCACAGCCCAGATTGGGTTGTAAATGAAAGAGCTGTCCAGAGACAGGATCCAATCCATCTCCTCTTTCCTCAGAGTCTTCAGTTCTTTTCTCTCCCTGCAGCGTCTCCAGACTTTCACAAAAAAGGCATCCTTGGGGTACAAACATGAAAAGGATGCAGTTGTTAAGAGTTCAACAGAATTGTAAAAATCTGCAGTCAAACCAGACTTTGCCATTTGGTTTCTCTTCAAAAGAAAGGGAAAATGCTATGAATGAATTGAAAGGGAATGGCCACATTCACATACAGTAGATGCTGACATCCCAGCAGGGAGTTGTGATTACAACTTTCCATCTAACTGGTTCCTGAAGGTATTCAAATACAGGAATTATATCTATCTCTGCACCATAAAGATGTTCACCTGCCTCCAACTGTGATATGGATCTGGATCTATGATCTCACTGTGATCAGTTGCAGAAAAGCTTTGTGAGTCACTCGAGAGATGGGCAGTGACTACATTTGAAAAATAAATAAATAACCAGACAAATGCCATTCCTTATCAACATGGAGGTCATCATCCTCATGAAATTCTGTCCCTTCTCAGTGTCTGGAGCTATCAGACCAACCAAGGTCAATCTGAAATGGAAGAGCATCTTGACCATCCCTGGGTACTGGACTCCTTGAGCAAGGAACATTAGATGGAAGAAAGTTTTATCACTCAGAAACTGGGAAACAAAGGCGTAACTGGTCTGAAAAGGAATGAAAGAAGATATTTTAAATTTAAACATCCAAAATTTAACACCTATAATTTCCATAATAAATCCCTGCTATTCATTTACAGCTGAGGACCTCTGAGTGAAAGCTGTATGACTGAAAACTGTCTCCCCACAGCAAACACAAACCTGGAGGATTTTGTAGGTGCCCAACATGGTCAAAATCTGGATGGAGATGTCAGCCCTTTCGAGAACAGCCAGTGTTTCTTTGCCTTCCACAGCTGTAATTGGGAACATTGGCCTCCCTGTCTGAAACCAGGTCCAGTCG